CCCCCAGGTGGCCCTTGGACAGAGGCTGTCTGCTCAGGAACTGCGAGTTTAGTTGCCCAAAATCAAATGGGCAGGAATAGCATACTTGGGAGTGGGGTGGGAAGTTACAGATTAAATCCAAACCCCTATCAAATTTTAAAGCTAGAGCCCTAAATGATTTATGTTTATTCTAGGAAGATGATAAGAAATTAAGGGCTGAACTTAAGTTCAGAATTGTAGCCCAATCCACTGAGTGACCATGTTTCTTCACTGATATGTCCCCTTCTTGGGGCCACCTGGGGGGATAAAGAATTATGGACCCAGCCCTTTCTTTCAATGGAAGGAAGGGGAGAAAGGAAGCCAAGCTTTTAAGCAGCCACTGCTGTGAGAAACTGCTTTGGGAATGAACAAATGTGGCTCCATAAAGGCAAGCTATGAACAAATGTTTCATCAACATTGTTTGAACGTTTTTGCCTCTTTATGTTATGAAACTGCTCTGTTTAGTCATCTCTTTCTTTACAGGGGACCTTAATTATCCCAGACCTGCGCTCTGTCCTTTTTGATCCTGAACAATGGGAGACACCTGAAGAATTCAACCCCAATCACTTTTTAGACAAGGAAGGGAAGTTCATCACCCGGGAACAGTTTCTGGCATTCGGAATAGGTAAATCCATGAGTCCAAAGCAGCTTATACCTTATAGATTCCCACCAGCACCACCCCTGGGTAGTTCTGAGGTCATCATGGTCTGAATATGAAACCAGGGAATCTGTATTCTTTCTAGTTTCAAAACTAAGAGAGTTTGGAGTTCCCGTTAGGCAGTAAACCTTCAAGTACAAAGGAATTCTAGTTATATTTAGATTGCAATCTTACACTGTAGAGTTTTGTCAGATATGTACAAGATTGTGCTATTATCTTTTTTGTTTGGAAGAGAATTTTTAGCTAAATCCAAAGAATGCTGACCAAGTTATAGCTTCTTACTGACAAATCTGGATCACAGTTATGGTTCTAGGTGGATTAAGCTCTGTCATTTTAATGAATGCATCTAGAACCATAAATCCTCCATCACCGCAGTGTTTCCAGTCCTGCCTGGTACTGCATGTATACCAATGAATCCTTCTCCATTGACGGTGCATGTAGCAAAGGGCATAAAAGGCACAGTTTCAATTATGATAGATATGAAAACTGATGACTCTTGCTATCTTCTGTCCTGCACAGTTCCGGAAATCCCATCACATCCCATTGCCCCCACCACTTGCCACTGCATCATAATATTCCCCTCCTTGCATTCCTCCATAGCCAACCCAGCTACAACAGGAAGGAATTGAGCCAGTATACCAAGAATCTAAAAGTCATTCCCTCATTTGCCATTCTTCCAACCTCACCATATGGCCCATGATAAGAAAAACACATCCAAAAATAAGGATAAACACAGTACCTGAAAGATTGTAGAGAGGGCACATCTATAGGAAGTGATGGACAACCCAGTGCCACTCAAACACTCAAGGTGGCATGCAGAATTTGAAAAACGTCATATCAAACTAAAAAGTAAAAGCAAAATCATTGAAATCAACAGTTAAAAGTTGCCAAGAAATAGACTTTTTTTCCCCATTTTTTAAACATTTGGAATGAAGGGGTGAAAAATACTTCCTTGGGGGAAAGCATTCCATAGCCTAGAAGCCACATAGAATTCTAGTTAGCTGAGTTTTCGCACTGGAGAACTTTCTGTGATCCTGCAAATTACTTGTGCAGACCTAAGTTGGGTTTTTTAAAATGGGTTCTGATGGCTTCTACTAGGGACCATTGGCAAAGATACACAAAACTCTCAGATACACTTTCAGCCTTCCCAATTCCTCCATGTCTTAATGATGGCTCTTTTCCTCCCACTAGTTCTGTGCCATCAGCATTTCTTGTCACCAATCTTTGCAAGCATCCCTGCAGGAAGCATCTAACTGCCTTTCCCTCTCCCCTGTTTGAGTCTTCTGCCTTCCCATAGACATACAGAAAAAAACCACTATCTGCCTAGCCCCAAACTCTGACAAGCATTTCCCCAAGTGACTAAAAGGCAGCTGAAGGGCTTGTAAGTAGAGAGAGCTAGAAATCCAACTGAGTTTCTACCTTGCTTAGCAGCAGAAAAGCACTTCTATATTGTAGCAAATATGACTTATAAATTTACTAACACCTGGGGGTTAACAAGCACTCCCAAACTCCAAACCTGCTCTTTCTGGGAGAGTTAAGTCCCATCCAAAACAAATTCCACCTCGGTCCCCAAGTCCAGCTTTTTTGTCAGCTTCTTTTCCTTCAGCCAACTGGTTATCAAGATGAAGCAACATTCAAGGATACTGGTTATTTCCTTGGAGTTGGGTGGTAGGGAGCCCTAGACATGGAGGTCATCACATACTGGCGTTACTACACTCCCGCATATTGCTCACTTGTCCCACCATCAACGAACCAATCAAATAGTAATCTCCCAGAATCACCTTCTGGGTATAATCCAGCAGGACAAGCTTGAACCACGGTGCCCCCAAAGAACAAAACCAACAGATGGCCCAGAAGGGTACCATGGTCAATGGAGTGAAAGCAGCTGAGGGAGACAGGAGAATTAGCCCTCCCCACATCCAATTTCTGGCAAAATAGATTCAGTAGCATAGACTGGATAAAGCCCCAGCTGAAATGGGTCCAGTTTCATCCAAATGGATCTGCAGTTTTCTTTCTTGATCATCTGACATATTTGAATTGTTCAACTCTGAACTACACATATTCGCCTCTATTGATATTTGAAAATGATCTATCATCATAAACCAAGGGGTTGTAACTGCCTGGGCCAGCTCCATATTTCACAAATCAGCCAGGAATCCATAATAGGCAAGGCATAAAATTCCCTTAATGTACTCCATCCAGATCTATCAGAAACCTGGGCCACACTCTCTGAATGGCCCTTCATCCCTGCAGAAGGTGATCTCCATTCCTCCAGAATGGCAGTCCACATCTGTCCATGGCAATAAGAGTTATGCAAAGCTTATTCTTGTTCAGATAGAAACAAAATGCCAAACCCAGCAACTGGGGCCCGAGAAGAGTTGTGCAGATCCATGGCAATCATGGCAAATATGATGTCCTAGGCCATTCCTCAACTGATAATCTAAGCAGGAATATTTAAATCCCAGAGGAAAAGAAGTCAAAGGTAGTCCAATACCATAGTAGCAATTACTCTGATCAGGCCAGGAAGAAAGGCTGCTTTGCAGAGTGTTATCTCAATGTTTCTCCAGATGGACAGCTGTAGCAAGCAAATGTACTAGATTGGAAAACTGTCAGAATAGGTGTTTGGTCAGTGAAAGGGAATTCCTATAGATCATGTCCATACCACCTTCCTCTAATCCAGCTGTAGCCTGATGCACCGTAAAATAAGTTGGTGGACAGAGAACTGAGAAAGTGACTTCCCTCTTTTAGGCCAATCTCTGGAAAAACATGCCAGATCAGTTTTTTCAGGGGTGTATAGCTTTGCCTTTGAAATGATGTACTGTTACATTATGTACTAGTGCAACCTGAGTTCAAGTCATCACCTTGTGGGGTGTCAACAAACTGAGTAAAAGGGAGAAAACACCTCTGGTAATTGAATCTGCTAGAAGATTCTAGGATTCAACTTGGAAATCTCCTTGGGCTCTTACAAATCTTTTCAGATTTATTTGCTGATCAGGATATACTCTGAGGAATAGACTGTTATTCTCTTTCTACATGCCTTGTCTCATCTATAGGTCAGCGGGTATGTGTGGGAGAGCAGCTGGGAAGAATTGAGACCTTCATCTTTCTGACCAGCCTGTTGAGGGCCTTCCGCTTCCAGCTGCCTGAAGGGGTGAGAGAACTCAATCAAGCACCTGTTGTACAGTTGATCATGCATCCACACCCTTACAAACTGTGTGCTGTTCCCCACAGAGGCACAAAACTTATAAAAACACCACAAAAAGCATAAAACTAATTACTGTATACTTCTTCAGTATGGTAAATGTTTCCTGTATGCCCATTCACTTAATCTGATATTCTGCCTCTGTTTAGTCTATACAGAAAGTTCTTCAACCTATTGCTGGGTTCACACAACATACTTAACCAGGTCAATGAAAGAGCTGGAGGTTGTGTGTGAACACT